ATGTTTTTGTGCTCCATTTTTTTATGCTTTATAAAACTTTATAAAAGAAATTTTTTTAACTAAAAAATTGCCTTAAAAAACTGATTTTCTATTTCAATATAGATTTTAGCAAAAATTATGCGCAGTTTATTAGCAGTGAAATTAAATCAACGAATTATTTGATGTATTTTGTTATTATTTGTATATATTTTATTATTATCATAAGAACAAAAAAAATATAAAAACATTCAACGCCGATAAAACTGGGAGTGTTCTTGACGAAAAAGAAAAATTGCATAATTTTTAGAATAATCGCAATAAAAATACTTGGTCATAATTTTTCGTTCAATCACTCTTTGCTTCCCCTCATGAGCAATCCATCCTAACATTTGCAAATGCGATAGCAAATTATTCCTCAATTTACTGATAGTAATATTGATAATGGGTAAATGTACTTAACCACTTCAGTGGGCAAAGGCTTTGTGGTACTATAGTTATATTTGGATACTTTCTCATCAGTCGAATTCGCTTGTGGAATTGGTCGAGCTCCAAATCATTTTGAATCGAAATAAAATTGCCAAATGCAAAATAACTAAATATGGCATATTTAAGAAGAAAATGGCTCACATTATACAAAACTGATGAATAAAGGTATTTATCATATTAAAGACAAAAAATATGAAAACATTTAAAAAGATAAAACTGAATAAACTTTTTTAATAGAAAAATTACAAAAATGTAAGACAAAATTTCAACATCATACAAAATTTCTATCATACAACTTTGCAACTATCATACTTTTTTTATTCCATCACGTAGTGATTGCCTCTATGTTGCAATCCATCTCGGCACTTGCAAATGCGATAGCAGTTTAATCCCCAATTTTCTAATGGTGGACAAATATATTCAACCAGTACCATCTTACTTGGACAAATGGTTTGTGATACTATAGTTGAATTTGGATTCTCCTTTGAAAGAATTCATTTATGGAATCTGTCGAGTTTCAAATCTTTTTGAATCTGAATAAAATTGCAAAATGCAAAATAATTATGGTATATTTAAGAAAAAAATGGGTTCCATGGATCGTCTCGATTCGTGCAACGGCCTGCAATAAGTGAATAACCATTATCGCAAATGCATTTCATACAGAAGGCGTTGAAAGGTTTGTAACGACAGCAAACTTGCGTTTGAACCGCATAGCCACACTTCTACATGGCTTTTGAGGTGAAATAAGATAATCTAAATTTAGACATTTTCATAATGTTTTACAAATTTTGAATAATTGAGCTATTAGAATTTTTCGTAATGATAAGAGATTGGGAAAAAAAACACTGCTTTTTTATGTGCATTTGCTAAAATATGAAATTTACAATATAAATATAATATAAATTTACAATATAAACGGCAGATTTTAAGAATTATTCAAAAGCCACAACTAACTAAACGATGGTAAAAGACTTTTGCGAAAATCCTTTTTGATAATAGCAACTTTTATCAAATAATTCGTTGCCAGTTTTATCAGATGCGATATTTTGAATTTTAATGCGATTTAATTTTGATTTATTACGAAAAAGATTAAATGGCAGAAAAATTTTCAAATCCATTTATAAAATATTCGTATATTTAGCCAAAAAAACTTTTAATACGAAAAATATAAAAAAATTTAAAAAAAGGGAATTATTCAAGAATTCATTATTTAAGAAATTTGGAGAATAATTATAATAATAATCAATAATCAATTATAAAATTGATTTATAAAATTTCACTAAATTTTTTAACAAAATTTTTCTGCGAAAAAATTAATTTTTTCGCTCTGAGAAGATGAAAAATTCGCAAAATTCACCCACTTTTCAAAATATTTTTTGTATAGAACATTTTCATTAATTAATTATTTTATTGCTTATTTCATAAATTTGCTCGCTTTAAAAAATATGAATAGTTAATTGTTTACTCCGCTTAAGAGAATTGCGAGGAGAATAAATAATCTTTTCAAAAAATTTCAATAGATTTTTTCTGGTTTTTCATCATCGCATCCGTAATTTATGCCAGCGCCGGTTAGTTGTAGCGATTACCGTTTTCATTACAATTGTAAAAGTAACCGCAGTCATAAATTCATTCCTTTCACCGAATGCATATATTAATTGGCTTTGGATTGCCACTTGCATTTAGATAATAATGCGTATGAAAAATAACTCGGCCTTGGCCATTTCAATTTGGGTGGCCATCAGCAATAATATTAGGATTGTAGTAAAAAAATTTGAACGGCTAAAAAGTTGTCTAAAGGTCTTTTGAGGAGAAAAAAAGATGTCTAAAATTATTCATTTTTTATTTTCTATTTTTTTTATTTTCTACTTTTTCTTTGTAAATTTATTTAGTGCAAATTGATCTATCAGAAATAAAAGCCAAAATTCTGAAATTTTCATTGTTAGAAGACAAGCAAGTACCACAGCAAGTAGAGCAATTAGCAATTTCAGCAATTTCGAACTCATCAAGAGTCAGTCTTTCGTAAATTATTTCCCATTAATTCATTTGCATATATTTATACACAACAAAAAATTCATGCTCGTTTTTAGTATTACAGTGAAATTCATCTGTATCCCAGGTTCAACAGGTATCTAATGGATTGACGAGTTAAGTGAATCATTGAAAAGCTTTGTAATTGTTGCTGGAATCGTATACATGAGGAATTGAAAAGGTGATGCGAGTCAGCGGTGCCAATCTCTTGAAAATTTATTTCATTGCCGTATGGCCGTATAGAGAGGAGAGCACCAATTACTAGGAGATGCATCCTGATCAAACATCTATTGCAGTTCTTGTTTTGCTGCCTTGAATCGATCAGAAGTAAGCCTTTATGAACCAGCTCATGCAGCTGAGATTCCTTTAATTTAATATACGTAATATTATGCTTGATTGATTGAGTTTGGCGAATTTGGCGAGTTTGGTGATGTTGGCGAATTCGTTGTCCTTGTCCGTCCTTAAGATGAGCAGTGAAAAAAGAGAAGAAGGAACCTTGATATTAAATAGCGTATCACTGCAGCTATCGACTAAATATTTCTTGCTAAAGTCCCACAAAGAAATGTCAAAGGCCAAGGTTTATGACGACTTTTCTATACATGTTATTTAGTGCTCCGTTGATTATTTGAATTTGCCCTGTAGGCACTGGCATTGATGTTGATTTACGCCAGTATTCACTAGAAAGCTGCATGCGATATTTTTATTAGTGACAAAAAAGAGTCATGGAAGGTGGAAACCAATCTTGATGAAACTTTTATGGAACCATCGCGAAATCAACATAAAGGCGAGAATCCATATAGTGGCAATTCGCTCGATCTTGCTACATGGCTGCAAAACATGGCCAGTGAGAGAAGAACGTAAGAAGAAGCTATCAGCCTTTAACCACTCCTATCTAAGATACATTTTACGGATCTGTCGAGCTGATAAAATCGCACATTATTGTATCCATTTTCTCTCAACGATCATCTCTATTAATAATCTTATCACAGGGCGTCGCTAATTAAGGCATGTTCTCCCTCGTCTACTGCAGGACTTGAAGTATATTTCGTTACTTGCTAAATTCTATGATGATTGGCGTTAAAAGCAAGGAGAACTAATCAAGTGCTGGATTGATACAGTCAGGAAAGATTTTGAATACATAGTGGGACCAGCGATATACAGCGACTTAGACAATGGAAAGAGCGATGACTTCTATTATTTAGCGATAGCACCGGACGAAGCAGCTTGAAGGCATCTTACCCTAATAGCCAGCTGAGGCAATCTAACCAGTAATGGTGAGAGCTATTAGAAGAAGAAGTCAAGACCAATGGTATTGGTCATTAGGCGCAGGTCTGGCTTTTTTCCTTGCTTTTATTTATTATAAAAATGGGATATAAAATTCTTTGGTGAATTACTGACGATATTAAAATAACCTTACACAGTCATGTTGGTGAAATGTGAATAAGATCGTTTTGAAACGAAAATTTGTTTAAAACATTTTAATCTCTATTCTATGAATTCATTAATCCATTAATTTTACTCGAAGAATAAATGCTATGCCTATAGGAGAATTCCAGTTGTTGCCAGAATTTTTCTGGCAAGTTGAGCAGTTGTCTTTAACGTAACTGTCACTGATCGAAGCCAATATTCTTTGAGCATTGACGGGAGGGCATTAAAAAACAGTCGCAATAGAAATCAAATGATCAAAGTTCGCCAATTTATCACCGAGGAATGCTTGCAGAGCTGTGATAATTTTCTATCATAGATTTTGCGAATTAATAATTTTTCTATTTTTCAGAAAGGAATGGATTAATTTTCTTGGCAGAGAAATTCTTCAAAATTAGAAAAAAGTTATGGCACTTAAAAAATTTAGTGAATTTTAGTGATTTTATAAATCACATAATATCATTATTATCGTCTAAATTTCTTCAATAATAATAAACAATTTTCAATTTGTAATTGTTGAATTTTTTGTAAATTTTGTAAATTTTTGTATTTGTAATTTTTTATTGAATCCTCTTTTTCAAATTTTTTTTTACGCATATAAAATTTTTTTGGCTAAATATAGTATAGATGAATTTAATAAAATCTCTTCCATTTAATCTTTCCCGTAATAATAAATCGGATTAAATCCATAACATCGCTTCTCCCGTAATAAAACCAAATAGGATTCGCACAAAAATCTGTTGCCATCTTTGTATTGGTCGCAGTCGTTGAATTGTTGAAGAATTCTTAATGTTCGTTTTTTATATTGTAAGTTTCGTATTTTTTAGTTTTATTTGCAAAGGCGCTTTAAAAAAGCAATGTTATTTTCTTCCCAATCTTATCTCTGCAAAAAATTCTTCAACAATTCATTTTGTTAATAATTGTTGATAATTCAACAATTATTGTCAAAATTTGTGAAATATTATCGAAAGCAATAAATTTAGATTGTCTTTTTTCTTCTCAAAAATCATGCAAAAGCGTGGTTTTGCGGTTCAAATGCAAGATTACTGTTTTTCTGTTACAATCCTTTCAACGGCTTCTGTATGAAATGTGTTTGCGATAATGGCTATTCACTTATTGTTGACCGTTGCACAAATCAAGATGATCCATTGTACAAAGTGAGTCATTTTCTTCATAAATACACCATATTTAATTATTTTGCATTTTGCAATTTTATTTAGATTCAAAAAGATTTGGAACTCAAACGATTCTACAAGCGAATTCATTTGATGAGAAAGGAGAATCCAAATATAACAGTAGTATCACAAATCATTTGTCCAAGTAAGATGGTACTGGTTGAACATATTTGTCCACCATCAGAAAATTGGGGACTAAACTGCTATCGCATTTGCAAATGTATGGATGGACTGCAGAAAAGAGGAGATAACTGCGTGATGGAATGAAAAAAGTATGGTAGTTACCAAGTTTTTGCACGTTTTCCGTCAAAATATTTTCACTTTAACCGATGCTTATTAAAAGTTTGCATATCATTTTAACATAATTAATAAATACATTTATTCATTAATTCACTGGTTTATTTTTTACCTTAAAGATAGAAAATATCGGTACAACAAAATATAGAATCAAAATTTCACCAGTACCTTGATCCATCATTTGTGCGATTCGCTTTTAAAGTCTAAACCGTAGGTGCTCCTAACATTAGAAGAAAAGATCAAAATTACCAGGTAAAGCGTGGACATGCAAGCTAACTATATGAAACTTGTGATGTCATAGCCACAACCGATCAGGAGGCAAAGATTGCAATATTTAAGCACACCAAAGGACAAAACAAATGTTCAAGGACCAGCTCAATGGGAAGAACAAAATCTATGCCATAATCATGCTCTGACTTTAATGAAGGCATTGTATGATCGACAAAGATACGACAGATAACGAGAAAATTTGATTAATCCTCGAGAAAAATTTAAAAGCCTTTCAGAATAACTCCAGCTTTCAAATAGCAAACCAAGGAAAATACAAAAAAAAAAGTAAATTTATAATTAACTCTACACAAAAACCTAATAAATTAACATGGAGACTACCGATATAAAGACTAAGAAACCTGCATAGCCGGAAAGAAGGAGACCTGGACATGGTGGGTATGAAAACCGTATAGATAGCTGAATAACTCGAATAAAACTCGAAGCATTAAGCAAGATGGCACCAAAGGTAAATTGCTGAGAGAATATCTGAAGAATATGCACTGTGAAACGTTCAAGCAGTGAAAATTCCATAGCAAAGCAAGGCCTTCCATGGATTAACCATCCATAGATAGCTGACAACGTAAGATCCTATCAATAATTGGAGATCCAAACTAGAATGCAATATTGAAATATTAATCATAGCAGCACAGCAATAAGCATTAAATCCATCAAGACTCCACTAGGAAGGATTTTATATGCAGAGAGTACAAAAACTTTCCAACACATGGTGACAGAATAAAAAATGCCAACAGGAACAATATACACTGAAAGGCATAACCAAGTAGCTCCCATCATCTACAGGAACATGTATTCGGTATATGGCTTAAGCCTCCCCAAGACTAAATGAAAGATTCTTCAGAAATCGCAGAAAATAATAAAATGAGGATCCTGCGAAACTTTTCCATCTAGGCAGGCAAATAAGCCAGGTTTTGTGTAGGAATTAAAAATCAAATAAACACTGATGATAGTAATATAAAGCATGAATATCAGAGAAATTAGAAAAATATCAATAGCTGAAAGAAAAACTGGGGAAAATATAGAAAATAAAGGCAGAAGTAATTACTTTAATTATTGGAGCACTTGGAACTATGATCCCTATATTAGAAAAGGTGGCTTCAGCAGATTCCAGCAGCAATGTCAGCGATCTATGTCCGGGCTATATTTGGAGCGCCCATGCTGCGATACTTTCCCTCGTTGGGAAAAACTTGTTGAAAAATTCGAGTGAAGCTGGCTATTCACATCTAATTCCATCCTTAATGGACTCCTTGGAATATTAAATGTAGCTAGCCAGCGAAGCGAGCTTAACTACAAATGGTGTGGGCTCATGAAAAAGTGAAAATTATAGAAATATGGGAAGAATTGAGGTTCTTGCATTCTTGTAAATTGCACTAATCGTCCGTGAAAGCTGGTGTGGTATAATAGAAACCATTGCTTTATCATATTTAATCTTAATAAAAAAAGTATTATTAATGCAATTCTTCAAATATTAAGAAGGGCATCGAATGGCTTATTGGTTATTGCTCAGATTGGAGAGCCCATACTGAGGTTCTATTCGCCGTTGAAAAATAAACTTTTTGGAAAAATTTGAGTGATGCTAACGTCTCACATCTAACACAATCGACAATCAATGTCTCTCGAAGCAGACATAGCTAGTAGTCCTAGATGGCCCTTCATAGTGAAAGCATAATATTGATATGGAAAAATTTGGGCTTCATCCATTTTCGTTAGAATGTACTAATGTTCAATGAAAACTATATGCGAAACCATTGCTTTCTCAGTTTTTTTTCTCGGTATTTCCTATAATCAATACAATTTCAAGATTTTCTTTAACAGTCATATTTGTTTCATGAAAAACCTTGCCTTGCCTTGATTCACATTCCCCTCAGACCATTATCCTCTATTCTCATGACTCTACATAAACCGTCTAAGGCAAAGAATATGCTTTGGTCTAAGTCTTTGCCAGATCTAAATCCTGCCTCAGAATCATTCTTTTATGCCCAGGATTAATTACTGGATTAATCCTAAGCCTTGGCCAAAGGCTTGACAAGGGCCAATCCTTCGGCAACCTTCGGGTTAAGCGTTGGTTTTCGCCTAAGTGTAAACATTGGCCTTATCTCAAGTTTAGGCCTAGGCGAAACCCAAGCGTAAGGGGAAATCCAAGCTCAAGCCAAGGTCTAAAATTTTATAATTTTGCATGAGAACAATTAAAAGACAAATTATTGTATTTCGTTGGAAAAAAATAGATTTTAAAAATAATGTTATCGGAATACGACGTTATCATATCATTTCTTTCATTTTCCAATAAATTTTCGTGCGGAATTTTTCGACTAACAAATTCCTTTTCGACAATGCAAATTACATTTTCTAATATTCTTCTATTTTAATTTAGCAAAATTTTTAAATATGAATTACTTAAATTTAAAATAATATATAATAATAGTTATTTACATCATAAACATGTGAACAGTTATTGAATATGTACTTAAAATAAAATTTGTAATGACGAAGAAATCAAAATGTAATGAATAATAAAAAAAAATAAATAAAAATAAAAACAACTTTTATATCAATGGCATCATCAATCTGTTGTAAAAGATGTTAATCACATTAGTATGATTTTTTCGCTAAGATTTAGTGAGGAACCATTATCAGACAAAAGGATAAGGCACAATCAATCCGTCGTTCAAATCGAGCGACAAAACAGCGAGAAATAGCGACATAATAGCGACAGCTGATCTATGACAATTTTTTATATTATGCAGTTGGTTTTCATTTTGCTTAAAAGAGGCATTGTTTCCTTTGATTGCGTAGAGGGTTTAGCCAAAAAATCGCTTTTTGTATAAATTTTTGGAAAAAGTAAGGTACAAAGGAAATTCGGCCTAAAAATAGCAGCAAATTTGAAGAGGATTTTCTAAATCTTTGTATCTATATAGGTCTAGAGCAACATGTTAAGATTGCCACTAGGCATAACACACATTTTAGATGTTGTTTTAGCTGCTTCATCTTCTTTTGTTGATAGCATTAGAGTATTGGAGCCTTTTTCTAATAGTGATCACAACATCATTCATGCTTCTTTAGACCATTATATACTTCCCTCGAGATATAGATATATAGAAATTATATAGATATAGAAATTATCGTCACTGTGATTATGAAATCTTTAATTCTAACCTCGCAGAAATAAACTGGGATTTCTTATTCTCTTTAGCTTCCTCTATTGATAAAACAGTTCATTTTCTTAAAAGCACCATTTTATACCTTATAGAGCAGTATATCCCACTAAGAAAAAAAAAACGTTAAGACGATTCCCATTTTTAAAAATCTCTTTAAAAAAATATCAAGAAGCTTTATAACAAATACAAATTACCAAATTGCCATGTGACCTTTCTGCATATAAAGAATGTTTAAGAAGTTTCCGTGGTGCTGTTCATAATTACTTTTTAAATAAAGAAGAGCAAATTTTAAATATTAATAAGAATTCTTTCTGGACCTATCAAAAGAAAATTTTCAAATCCACGCAAGCAATTAAATTTGCAACATAATGATAATGTGATCACATCTGATATTGATATTGCAAGTATATTTAATCAATATTTTTCTAGTGTATTTGTTGGTGAGAATAATACTCATACTTCTTGTTTTAATGTAAATCGAATTTGTTGCATTTCTCTCGGTTGAGTTGAAATAATAATACTGGATATTTATGATGCCTTAAATAGACTTAAGCCGTCTATTTCAGCTGGTTCCGATAATATTCCCACAAATAATTTATAAAAAATGTACATTTTCACTGATCTTCCACTATTTTTAATTTATAAAGACATTTATAAAGACATTAAGAAATCTGGCCTTAATTCCAAGATTTGGAAGTTATCTCAAATAATTCCCATTCATAAAAAAGGAAGCACCTATGAACTTTCCAATTATAGACCTATTAGCCTAGTATTCGCTGGTCGTAAAGTACTCGAAAGGTTGATTTGCAACAAATTGGTTACTTATCTTGATCCAATAATTTTATATCTCCTTATCAGCATGGCTTTTGTACAAAAAAATCCACTTCACAAATATTGGCAAATCTTTCCGATTGGTCTGCATCAATTGACAATGGAAAAACAGTATCAGTGGTGTATCTAAATTTGGCTAAAGCTTTTGATACTGTTTCCCATAGTAAATTATTATTGATCTTAATAGTTATGATATTACATGGGCCCTTTATAACTTGGTATCAGATTATATAAAAGACCGTCACCAAGCCGTACTTGTCAACAACATTCTTTCTGACACAAAACTGGTATTCCCCAAGGTATTTGTATTTGCATTGCTTTTTCTATTATATAAAAATGATATTACCAATGTGGTACTAAATTCTACTATTTATCTTCATGCTGATGATTGCAAAATTTATAATTCTCGTGGTAGGTAGGTCAGATAGCCTATCTCCACTCCAAGAGGATCTCAACAGAATAGCCAATATGACAAATGTGCAAATATATGGCAAATTACCCTTTCCTTTCAAAAATGTAGCATTCTTCATATCAATTCTAAAGGTTTCGATTTTCCTAACCTTATTATTAATGGCAATGTATTCAGTAGAGTTTCGCACATTTCCGATCTTGGAATAATCATGGATGAAAATCTCGGTTTCGACGTTCACTGCAGAATCATGGTAAAGAAATCCTCAAAGGTACTAAATTTTATTT